ATTACTAGACATCTTCTCAACACGGGTCATGAGGTAGAAATCGAGAAATCCTTTAAAATTATCAATAGGCAAAGGAGTTCTATTCTCCTTAAGTTTGCCAAAGCAATCTCTATCAAACGCTTGAAACCAGATTTATGTGTTCAGAAAGAAGAAGCAATTATTAGTCTTTCCTTGCCCATCCTGGTAACTGAATGTCTTTATTCTCTCATCTGATTACGTAATCTTTGTCTTTAACCTCACCCCCTTTTATATTCTGTAATTTTGCTTGTCTCTTGTTTCTATGATTTGAGTTGAACTCAGTACATTGTTACCTAATTTATTAGTCACTCTGTATCTAACGCATATTTCGTCTTTATTACGTAACTCTTTTACCATTGTATGCATACATTTATTTGTTTAATTAATTAATTTTTTTTTATTTTGATTTACAGCTTGATTCCACACCGTTTTTTCAGTACAAGTGTCGAATTTCCAGCACGGATATCGGTAGCCCAAATTCAGGCCGACCATAGATATCGGGTGTGCGCCGGCAGGGGGTCGAACCCCGGACCATGTGCATGGTCGGCGAGAGTCCTAACCACTGTGCCACCAACGCACTTGAACTGCCTGTATAAAAACTATATAAGCACAATTTTCTGAGCACTGTTCACTTACTGTGGAACTTTTTGTCAACTGACAACACGTAAAATTTGCAAGTATATTAAAACTTTTCTGTACGCAAACCTCATAATTTATTTAGGCTGTAAGCAGCTTATTAGAAGCCTAGGAAATAAATGATGGTACCTTCTTTTTATTCTGCACAAACCACACTGTCGTTCTTGCTTTATTCAAATTCATTAAGGGGAATAAATGCATAAATCCTAATTAAATGCCCAGACAACGTCGAATCTAATTTATGAGATGAATTTAACATTTTATAAATCCCAGAATATGCCTAGTAGTTTTTTTTCAAAGCGCTGAATATACATATTGATGTTAGGTGCACCAGTTGTCAACACCAATACTTCACAAGTCGAATTCAAAATATCGAAGCCGATAAAAAGTTGATATCTAAGCCCCAATCTCTTCTGAATAAGAAAGAATATTTATTATTAAATGTGTAAAACTTGGGCACGGCATTGGTGGTAGTAAGTAATGCCATATTAATTTACATATTAGATGTATCACACACAGTCAATGAAATAGTATTAGTATTTATTATTATTACTGTTCCCTTGGGTTCCTAGTGGAACATAGGGCTTCAGCTACACGTATCCACCTGCTTATGTCTTCTGCTGTACTTTTCACCTGCATCCAAGTTAGCCCACACTGTTTCAGCTCCTCTTCACACGATCTCTTCCATGTCACTCTCACGCCGACGACCAACTCGCCGCTTCCTTTTGGGGCTCCACTCAAGCCATGGCCTGACGCGCCATGTCACCCAGCGGCCTCCTCAGTGAATGTCCAATCCATCTCCACTTTCTCCTGCATATTTCTTGGGCGATTGGGTTCTTGCTTTGTTTGTTGGTTCCCATAGCTTCTTGTTGCTGACCATGTGATCTTCAGTACAGAGCGAAGACAGTTGCGGTTGATAAAGATCTGCAGCCTGTCGGAAATATTCTTTGTGACCCACCACCAAGTTTCTGAAACGTATAGAAGAACTAACTTACTTGACATTTGCATTGAAAATCCGAATCACTTTGTTGTTGAGTGTTGCTGAGTGACGAAGACTTCCAGATTGGTTTCAGGTTGATGAATGTGTTTCTCGCCTTCTCGATTCTCGATTTGACATCCTCGTTCGTTCCTCCTGTAGTTGAGACAAAGCTCCCTAGATAAGTGAATGAAGTAACCTCTTTCAAATCTCTCCCGTTGATGGTGATTGGCGCTCGATGTTGCTGTTGTTGTTGTTGGTTGGTTGGTTATTTTCATAACGTCCGTCTTGTCTATGTTCACCTGGAGTCCTGTCTTCACCGGCTGCTTCTTCGACCAGTTTGTCGGTTTTCGCTTGTAAGTCTTCGATTTTGTGTGATATCAAACATAAATCATCTGCGAGATCCAGGTGTTCCAAGTTCCTCATGTCGGTCCAGGATATCCCTGTCTCCTCGTTTCCCACTGTCTGACGCATAATCCAGTGCACCACAATTATTATTATCATTGATGGTAATGACTTGAGGCTAGAATTCGAGAATTCTTAACAAAGATTGTCAGGAGATAAAATTCTGTAATTTATGAAGGGAGGATTCAAACGATGGCAAAGTTAAGCTTTGAGCCCAACTAACAGCCAATCAGTAAACGACCTTGAAGGGACCAATCATATGAAAGAGATGTTTGGTTATGGCAATGTTCCCTTTAGAGAAAGACGTTTTGGTACAAGTTCAGAAAATCGTAGATATGCCCTTCTTTCTTTCTCTTCTTCCAATGTAACTAACTGCTCCCCCAGGTACATGTATATTTGTATATAGAGTTGGAGTTGTTAACATGAGAAGGATAACTGTCGATGTTATTTCCAAAGATACCATATTTTATCCCTGATATTTTTATCTTTGATTTTATCTACGAATTCAAATACATCTTTAAGGTTATGTTACACTATCTACTCATGCAAAGATTTGAGAATATTTATCAACCATGAATTACGCAATATACACACTTGATCATAGGGAACAAAAAGACAGTTGCAGCGAGAAAGAAAAGCTTTTCCTTTCGAGGAAGTCATCGTCAACAGGCAGCTGTACATTCGTGTATTTATAAAAATAAATGGGTAGGAAATTTCCACAATAATTTCTGGTCAAGGGTCAGCTTAATACAATTACAATTAGGAATTAAAATGACATAATAAACAGGTGGGGGACGGATAAGACTCAAACAAAGTAGCATCATAATTACTGAGAAGATTGACATTGAATGTACAATTAGGGGTTAGAAATGTAGAAATAACAACAATAGATAGACAGGATGTTTGGATAACAAAAAAATCTAGTGGGATCATAACTAATGTGACGAATAACTGTTTATGCAATCTGGGATTAAATATGTAGAAATGATAAAAATGACAAAATAGACAGGAAGTTCGGATATGAAAATATGTGGTAGTGTAAATAGTGGAGGGATTAAGAAAAGCTTAAAAATAACATGAATAAACAGGAAGTTTGGATAAGAAACTCAATGGGATAGACACTATCAGAAAAATTACCTGTTTATGATGCCCACATCAGTGTTGGACAGGGGTTTGACTTATATGTTTTGGATACATAGCGTGAATTTGAGCTTTTGGATGGCTAGTGCCTCCGCTATACCCAGGTGTCCTTATTTCACTCCCTTTGATAGGTTTGATCGAATCTGGTAAATTATTTTGAAAGATTTTTTAAATGGTACTGAATGTCCTGAATTGACCAGATGTTCTGTCACTGAACTATACACACACGTTTTCGTTCTCTTTTTACTAATCAGGCTGGACACTGTTCACGAGCGCGTTTTTCAATTAAGTTGGCGCATGGTGTGGCCGATGTACTTAGCTTCGCCAGAGAGCAAGTAAACTTGTATATGCACGTTGAAGTGGCCCAATGGGACAGCTTGTCTTTCGCGTTCTGGTTTATTCATGTTATTTTAAATTTTTCTTAATCCCTCCTATTTACACTACCACATATTTTCATATCTTAACTTCCTGGCTATTTTTTTATTTTATTATTTCTACATATTTAATCCCTGATTGCATAAACAATTATTCGTCAGATTAGTTATGATCCAAATAGATTTTGTTGTCCAAACATCCTGTCTATCTATTGTTGTCATTTCTACATTTCTAACCCCTAATTATTCTAGAACTTTCCTTCCCATTTATTATTATAAATACACGAATGTGCTACAGCTGTCTAGTCGACGGTGACTTCGTCGAAAAGAAAAGCTTTTCTTCCTCGCTGCAACTGTCGTTGTATTCCCTATAACCGTGAACTGTTTTTAGGTTTCGAATTAATTTGATATGAAAGCATAAGTGCTAATACAAATCAGACAGTTGGTTTGCAATAGGGGAATTTAACTCTTGGGCACTGTGGCAGTAAGTAATTCCATATTAATTTGTTTATTAGGTATATCACACAGTGAAACAGTATTATTTGCTGGATGACGTCTCGAACAAAATTTATGGTTCATAATCATATCAATTGTGATCACACAACTTTGACACTTGAGTTTTATAGTTTTCTTTGTTCTCTCGTATTTGTCATAGGGGGAGTAGAATTTTCCAGGTATCGAGGACATGTGATGAATCATTCCTATTACATGTATTTGTAGTTGATTCGATAAACAAAGCTTCTGTTGTCAATATCTCCCACCCTACACCCTGTGACATTAGATTTGAAAACTGTCATCCTATCACATCCCATCCACCCTATTGTATAGTTGTGTGTAACTGCATGTGGTGCTTGCGATAGCTGCCGAACTATTCTCTAGATTTCTTATCTTATTCGGGTCAACCAATCTACATTTTGCTAGGTTTTTATGCTCGGCTAGTCTGACTGACTCACCCTGTTCTACTAGTTTGCCCCATGTATTTGACCTGACAATCATCGCAGGCAGGATACTAGATAAACTAAATTGTTTTGTTTTAAAGGCTCCACTAGCAGGATTGATCCTTTAACCGACAAAGCTTGTTTCTAATTGAGTTTTTGTGGAGAGGGGTTGAATTCCAGCCACTTTTATTCCTGTCTGCCTTGTTAAAAATTCTGAGTTAGGTGGTTACCGAGGTTCCTTTCTTCTATTGAATTACCACTGATGATTTAGATTCCTTATTTTTGGTGTTGTCTTGAGAAGTGCTGTGATTGATGAAATTGATGAAATGATTATGAAGAATAAATTTTGTTCGAAAGGTCATCCAGCAAATAATACTGTTTCACTGTGTGATATACCTAATAAACAAACTAATGTGGATTTAAACTCTAACAAATCCCAAGAATATATGCATATATATAAACCAAATACAAACTATTTTATGTTCTCTCTCTATTTTCTTTCCCTAATTTTAGCTTACACAGTATATGAGATACACATTCTGCATCCCTTCCTTACCAACCAACCAGCGAAGTATTATTGGATTGCTTTATACAGTGTCGACCATGCTCACGAGACCTTCATTCTACTGTTCACAGAAAGATGGAAGCAAACAAAAAGTGTGACATTTCTTCATCACTAATTCCTTTCACTCCACTCCCCATATCGCACCTCGTGTCACCACTATTCCAGTTTACTTCACTCACTCACAGTATTATCATCATCAAACTTACTTACTTTGTAAATAAAGTAACCAAAATATGTCCATGTCCACTGACGTAAAAATTTCACTGACTGACTGACTGATTGACTACAAGAGGCTGAGATAATATCAATTTGTACCTACTTATTTTCCTTTTTTATACTTTTGAATAATACACAGTAAATTTTTGTTTTGAAGATGAAATAACCGTGCAAATTTTACAGTTCAAGATGGGGATAGAAAAAAGATTTTCCAATATCTTTGATTTGTTAAAAGAATGGATGGATACTGAACAAAGAATATAATAAATAATCTTTTCGATAACCCCTTCATCATCATCATCATCAGGATCTACAGTTATATATCCGACTATCGACCAAAGGGCGTGTGTACTGCTTAACAGTCCGCTCCGTCCTCCTTTATGGCTGTGAGACCTGGCCATTGATAGTGCAAGACATGAAAAGGCTGATTAGCTGTCTTCGATCATAGGTGTCTGCGTTCTATCTCCCGTGTTAGGTGGTGGTATAATAAGATGAGCGATATCGGGGTTAGGCGTCGAGTGCTAGGTAAGGTGGGGAAATCAGTCGACGAGACTGTGAAATTACATCGACTGAGATGTTTAGGACATGTGTTACGTATGCCTAGTCATCGCCTTCCTCGACAATGGGCAATGTTAGCTGATATAGGGCCAGGCTGGAAAAGAGCTAGCGGCGGTCAAACCAAAACATGGCACCAGTCAATGAAATTCGCAACAGTTAGTCTAAGCCACGTAGGAAGGTGTAAACTGGCTTCCTGACTGGTTGGGGTCCTCGGGACGGTAAAAACCAATGGTTAGAAACAATTGGTGACATGGCTCAAAATCGTTCTCAGTGGCGCAGATGCATCCACTCCTTGTGACTCATGATTTCCAATTAAACTGTTTTGTTCTTCGTTATTGCTGTTCCTTTGTCTCACACCTCTGTTTACTGTCTCTCTATTATGCACTTCTCCTACTTTCTTCTCATGCTTTGTGTGCTACATGGAGTGTGGCGTTTTGAACTGCCGCACATATGTGCAAAGTTCTATGTCGAAAACCGACCGACCAACCGACAGTTATATATCCATCCATTATAATGAATGAATGAATGAATTAGTGTTATGAACAACAACATGAGTGTTCCTGTTTAAATAACATCGAATCAATAATAATAATAATACCAGTGGATTACAGTTCAATAGCATCAACATAACAATACACACTGAATGTCAGTTGAATTAGGAAAGATAATATTACAAATTCATGAATTTATATTTTCTACTGAAGGCCAACCAGCCAGGACCGTAGTAGTGGCTAGCTGGCTGGACTTGCTTCTTCTCCACACACAGAGCACTGGTTGTTTGGGGCGAATTGCAATAGCCTCTGTTGCTTTGAGCATGCGGTGCTTCGATGATGATTGTGTCAATTTATGTGGCACCCGGTAGATGATGATAGAGAAGGATTCTTCCACGCTGGCTGTCTGGCTGCCTTTGTGACCGGCTGGCCGGTCATAATGGGATATGTTCTCGAGCGAGCGAGCAGGAAAAATCAAGTTCCTAGATCAAGCAACGGCCGATACAACTCGCTCCACCACAAGGACAGTTGCAGTTGAATTGGTAGATACAATTTGAAGTGGCCAGCTAGTCTAGTCTGGGTACTTCATCTTTCAGTCGAGGTAGCACCATCGGTCGTGTGGAGAATAAGACGTGTAGTTCGCCGCCAGCATTAAAAGTTCTTTCAACTGATTCTCTTAATTTCTTCGTAGTTATCTCACCTGGGATATCCATCGCCCTTGAATTGCAGTCGTATGTAAAGAGGCTTCTTGTTTACAGATAGTGAGTAGTCCCTTTCCGCCGCTTTCTTTGATATTTGTTTCTTGATGAATTTTTCGGGATAGCAATTTTCGGTCGATCAAGGTGTCATATACAGTGCTTAATTCATCTTCAATTACTTCTTCTGAGCATATAGCTCTAACTGACTCTGTGGCTCAGGGTCTTTACTTGTACTTGAGGTGAATGAAGCTGTGAAAATGTGTGTATATTTTCCTGTTGTCCAAGTATTTTTTCTATGCAAATTTCTTTTTATGCTGTTTTTGTTGAAAGGAGGACGGGGATCCAGGAAGGCAATTCATTCTGTTTTGGGATTCCTCTTCGCAAGTGAATTTCATAGTGGAGAATGTACTTCATTGAATTCAGGAAATATTATGTTCCTATCCGAATCATTATCACTCAGAATGAAGGTGTCATCCATATACAGGCAATAAAATGAGAGCTTACTGATAAGGTTGTTCAAAGGTCCATTTTCTAGCTTACTTACTTAGTGGTGGACAGGCGACTTTGACAATACATATGTCAATATCGACTACATACTCAAACGGATCAAATTTAGCTGAAAAGAAATTTATTAACCCCAGTGAATTTTAGAGATGACTTTTTGGTGCTTCTTTCCATTGGCTGTCAAATGTGAAAGTTATTATAGGATGGTCAACATTTTGCCTTGATTTTTCATTTAACTGAAATTGCTACCAACAGAAGACAAGGGCCAGTCAACAGATCGTTTATTTAGGAAATCAACACACATATTTATCGATTTTCATGTACAATATTATAGATTACTGTTAGCAGACAAACACAGTCTTCTGATTGGTGGTTTCTCATCTCATTGTGACTGTTTCTTGTAGGTCAGACCATTTATCCATCTATCTGCTAATTGTATCCGCCTACGCAAACAAAGTGTTCTGTGATTGGTTGTTGGTTGAGTCAGTCTTTGTTCTTGTTCTTTTTTTCTCATGACCAATATATGGGACATAAACACTGACGTAAATTACTGTCTACCGATTTTGGCTAGCGCAGACAGCTCTCACCATAAATTGACCTACAGGGTGACAGCTAAACCGGGAGGGACTCCATGAGTTTCCTAGAACATGTTGAGTATAAGATGGACGCCTAATGTTACTAAATAACTCTGAAAGTCGGTTATATAAATATATAATCCCTTGTTTAGAATGAAATCAAGTGTAGAGGGATTGGTTGAATCGGACGGATTCAAGTGTAAGCCAAGATTCATGGATAATCCCCATCCAACCCCAATAATAAAAACAAAACACGTGCGTATTTCAGCGAAGAGTCTCTTTTCGGCGGCGAATTCGTTTTCTTAGTTGTACAATCACAAATATATATATGTACCTGTGTTATTTTGTATGTATGTGTACATTAAGTTTGTCAAACAAAAATAGACAATTAGTTATGGTTATTTTAACTAAACAGGTGAAGAAGATTGGTAATTGGAGTTACGTAATACAAAATCAGTCAAGAAAATTGGCTGTTAATGAAATTAGGGTAGTAACAAAGGTGATGAGTTGTCGCAAATAGTCACAAACATAACTTCTTTTTTGGTTGGAGGGTTTCATCGGGAGCTGACATCAGTTAGAGAACCACTGGAAAACCAGCCAGGGAGTACTGGCTGGCTGGATTCAACACAGAACTTGCCACCGAAGTGCAGCAGTTCGAGTTGCAACGTTCCAAATAGCCCACAAAGGTAGACAAGAAAATGAGTGAAGGGAATCACAATAGAGTTTTGACAAGTATAATAGTGAAACAGAATGAGTAATGGTAGAAAGGAATATGAAATTTATACAGACACTGAATACATCTACGTAAGCCATTGACAACGATTTTGAGCCATGTCACCTAGTGTCTCCAGCCATTGATTCTTAGAGTCCCGAGGGCGGGCCCCAACCCGGAAGGAGTCTGCATCTCCCTCCCTACCTGACTGACTCAGTTTAACTGCCAAGGATTTCATGGATTGATTGATGCCATGTTTTTGTTTGGCATGGTACCACTTACTCTTTTCCAACCTGCACATATATTAGCTAGTAATGCCCGTTGCGAGCGGGAGGCAATCGTTAGGCTTGCGCAGCACGTGACCTAGACATCTCAATCTATGTAAGTAACTTTATAGCCTCGTCGATTGATTTTCCCTCTTCGCCCAACACTCTACGCCTAACGTCAACATTACCTACCTTATTTTACCACCTAAGGTGAGAAAGAGATCGTAGACATCTATGGTCAAAAACAGTCAACCTTTTCATGTCTTCAACTCGTATTGGCCATGTTTCAGAGCCAGCCATAGAGAAGGACGGAGCGAACTGATGAGCAGTACACACGTCCGTTGGTTGATAGTCGGATGTCACGCCTACGCCAGAGACGGTGTAAGTTAGCGAAAGCAGCCCGAGCTTTTTGGATCCGTGCTGAGATTTCGTCACCAATCAATCCGTTGGTGCTGATACAACTTCCCAAATAGGTGAAGTGGTCAACATGTTCTACCACTTCACTCCCTATCACTTAGCTAGGAATTGACGTAGTCCAGTCCTGTAGCAGCATCTTACCGGACAGCTGTTTCGTCAGCCGAGTTTGGGACTCTTCATCACTACGCACCCACCCCACTGGGTCTCGAACCCATGACCTTCTGGTTACAAGGCCAGCGAGCTCGTAGACCATCGAGCCACTGGGACCTCATCCAATGGCCAGCCAGTGTACGAATTCTAACTTCTGCCAAAGCACGCATGACATAGCGCGACCATTTCGCAATGTCTTCTTCGATGAGTTACTCCCTGTACCCTACTGGGCATGGCTTCCCACTAGAACCTCAGGTCACTGCCCACCTGAATAGGACGAGTCGCTAGTGAGCATCAGATTAATTTTCAAGTATTGATTTTTTGTAGGGATTTATTTTGATTGGATGGAAGATTTCATCATGAACTGGCAGAAGTTAGAATTCATGCACCGGCCATTGGATCAGATCCCAATGGCTCAATGGTCTGCGAGCTCTCTCGCTGGCCTTGTAACCAGAAGGTCCTGGGTTCAAACCTTGGCAGTGGGTGCGTACTGCTGAAGAGTCCCAAAATTGGGATGGAGGAAACAGCTGTCCAGTACTCCTTGTGGCTGGTTTTCCAATGATTCTCTAACTGAAAACATTTGTTTCTCGATACGAATTTAAAACAAGCAATAAAGCAGGTTAATAAAGCAGGATGATTTAATGATGGATTCATCAAATTTCAGTAGAACTCGTCAGCTGCTAAGCACTCTACATACACGGATATTTATATACTGTTGAAATTACATTGGGAGATATAAGACTGATAAGTAATTAATTTCGATCTCTCATATTCTCTCTCGCCATATTTATTTATTTGAACATGACATGGAAAACATTCGCACCTGTCTTTTGACATGACTAATTCAATGTAGTTTGTTTACTTATCCATCTTATAGATCTGATGAAGACCGTTATGAAGAAAATAAAGGGCAGGAGAATTCTTCTCACCAAGTAGTCTTCAAAAGCTGTAAAGCAGTATTATTATTGTTCTCTTGGGTTCCTAGTGGAACAAAGGGCTTCAACTGCACGTCTCCACTTGCTTCTGTCTTCTGCTGTACTTTTCACCTGCATCCATGTTAGTCCATACTGTTTCAACTCTTCTTCACACAATCTCCTCCATGTCACCCTTGCACGTCCCACTCGCCGCTTCCCTTTCGGATTCCACTCGAGTGATGGCCTGACGCGATGTAAACCAGCGGCCTCCTCAGCGAGTGTCCAATCCATCTCCACTTTCTCCTGCATATCTGTTGGCCGACTGGTTCTTGTTTCGTTTGCTTGTCTGTTTCAATAGTTTCTTGTTGGTGATTCTTTCCGGCCATCTGATCTTCAGTATAGAGAGAAGACAGTTGTTGTTTATAAAGGTCTACAACAGGCTGTTGGAAATATTCGTTGTGACCCCCCAAGTTTCTGATCCGTATAGAAGAACTGACTGACTTGACATTTGTATTGAAAATCCGAATTTATTTCGTTGTTGAGTGTTGCTGAGTGACGAAGATTTCCAGATCGGTTTCAGGTTGATGAATGTGTTTCTCGCCTTCCCGATTCTCGATTCGACATCCTCGTCCGTTCCTCCTGCTGTAGTTAAGACAATGCTCCCTAGCTAGATAAGTGAATGAAGTTACCTCTTTCAAATCTCTCCCGTTGATGGTGATTGGCGCTGGATGTTGCTGTTGTTATTGTTGGTTGGTTGTTTTCATAACCTCCATCTTGTCTATGTTCACCTGGAGTCGTGTCCTTGCTGCTTCTTCGACCAGTTTGTCGGTTTTTGCTTGTAAGTCTTCGATTTTTTGTGATATCAAACATAAATCATCCACGTGCGAAATCCAGGTCTTCTAAGTTCTTCATGCCGGTCCAGGATATCCCTGTCTTCTCGAACCTCGCTTAGATTACTAGCTCACTAGTTTTCTAGCCGGTCCCAAGCCCGGATAAAGAGGGAGGGTTGGGGCGTGGTGCTAGCAACTCCACCCCCAAAAATTAACCATATTTCTACAAAAACTTCAACGCACAAATGTACAGCAGTACTTATATATATTCCTAGAGGTAAGTAACAGTAAGTTACTTAGAATTGGTTTCTAAAGATGGAAAGAAAGACTCAGAGAGCAGAAATGAGTTGTTCCTTCAACGTGGTTGCAGATACGCCGCACTAACTTGCTGACTGACTGGTGAGCGTCAACAATCACGAAGTCTAGGTCAAAATAACAACAACAATTCTGAGTGGACCATATAATGGAGAGTCAGTCAGTCAGCCCCCTTAGTATGATGGTGTTGCCACATCGCAAATTTGACTGAGGTAGTAGTAGTAGTAGTAGAATTCAGTCTCCAGACAACAGAAGACTCCTAGACCGACCCATGGCACTAGTCAGTGTCCAATGACAAATTCATCATTTTTAACACCCTGAAACAGGAATCATGCTGTACGCTGCCGACCTCTAGGAATCGTGTTGAACAAAATAAAGAGGAATATGGTTATATTTTTCTTCTAAAAAGTATGAAGTACAGATAGATGACCTCCAGTCCAGAGGTTTGAACTACACAAGCGAAATCTGCAAGACAGGCTTTGCCTAGAGCATCGCGTTAAAACTAGGCGATTTCAAGGCTGGTGGCATTCAAACCAACCAACTCAATCAAGTAGGACAAGCTCTGTAGACGCTGTGGGACCCTGTCGGTTGACCCAATTAGACAAACTAGTATAATTTACAAAAAACCCTGAAATGACAGTGAGTTAGGTCAACTACATAGCTCAAACTAGTTGGTCGGGGATAGTCAGATTCTCGGAACAGAAGAATTTAGCTAAGGTAAGAATGATTGAACCCGAGAAGATGAGAAATTTAGAAAATAGCTCAGCACTACATTGCACTGCATGCATGCACTAACACACAACCACAAAATGGCATGGTGGGAGAGGGTTAAAATTCTAAAAAGTAATCTATGTGGGTGGAGATAGAGAGAGATTGATTACTGAATTCTGCCTACTTCATAGAGTCTACACCCAACACAACACATGTAACAGAAATCACTCAATGCAAATACCAGAGATATGCATGGAAGATATTATTACCACCAGTCAGTCAGTCAGTCAGTCAGTGAAATCAGAGGAGGATAATAAATAATCTTAAATTGTATTCTATTTCAATTCAATTCACGTACATCATCACAACATTCTAACAAGTTACTCACTTATTATGACTATAAAACAACACTGGTCATATTTCCCATCTGACTGTAATTGATCAGTAACACTTATATTATTATTTCTGAATGTACATTATCCCATATTACTGATTTGTATTCAAATGTCTAATCATGAATTCCACTCATGTATATAAATGAAGGAAAACGAAAGTTGTGTGAGTGAGTCAGTGAGTGACTCGATATGATGATTATGAGTGGCAATAATGAATTGTGCTCGAAGCGTGTGGTCGCATCAGTTAATATTACTTACTGTATAACACTACATACACTGTGAGTGACAGTTTATCAAAACAGAAAATCTTATCCATAATGGAGTAGTTATACTCTACCACACCACAGTGCCTGGCCAAGTTTTATACTTTATCAAGAAAGAAGCCTGTCTGGTAGTGAATGAGATAACAGCAGAACTGTGGTTGGGAAAAACAACCCACAATCAGGGAAAATACACACACACATTCTTATGTTACAAATTAATTCACTCATTACACTGGAAGAAAAGAATTCATTCCTGCAGAAAATTAACTGTGTATCTCTCAGAATCCAGTTTACAGTCGGTGAACTACCATTTCTAGACTGCCTAGTTAGGAGAAGGGGAAACGGACATTTTAGTATATCCATATTCAGGAAGAAAACCCACTGCAACAACAAATATTTAGACTTCAATTCATCACACCCCATCAGCGCAGTGATATCAGTTGTTTCAAGTCTCCTTAGATGAGCACACTCTCCGATGTTAACGAATGAGAAAGAAAAAGAAGAAGAAATATCAAACATTACTGAACCTCTCCTCAAGCAAAACAACTACCCATGGAACTTCATCAACAAAATCAACACTGACATTAAGTATGGTCGAAAACGCATTCCGAAAACATAGACCTCAACAGTTGTCATTTCACATAGAGCGGAGACGTCAGACAATATCAGAAGAGTACTCAATAAGCTTGACATTAGAGTTTTCTTCAAAACATCAGACACTACGAAACAACTTTGTCCATATAAAAGACCAATTCCCTAAAGATTCCCTATCTAATTGTGTCTATAAAATAAAATAAAATGCTTGGAATGTGATGCGACATACATCGGAAAAACATCGCCAGAGAGAAATCAAAATCAGAAGAAATGAACACCACAGAGCATCTGTTCGACCACTGAGAAATAAATGCACTTGAACTAGAAAATCTTGAGAAACCATCAGCCAGGCAATAGAAACAGGCAACAAAATTGATTTTGACAATATTGAAATCGTCATCCAGAAAAAGCATTTCAGAAATCACAAAGAACGTCTAATATCATCAGAAGCACTTCACACAAAGTGGAATCCAAATTGTCTGAACAGAATAGGAATGATGGACTAAAACAGAATCTGACCTGGTTACAACACCTCCCTACCCCATGAAGTGACAAAATCAACACGAATGTGATAAGCAAGTTCACTATGTGAACACGCTGTTTTTACAGTTTAACACACTTATCAAATCCAACAATCCACACTTGATTTTGTTATCTTTACCAATTGGTCAACTCGACAATGAAAAATGCCCCCAGTCTAACGAACGATGATCAAGATAGTAAACTTTGTTCTGATACCAACCAGGGCAGATGTACTATTACCTCTGTCATTTTGACTTTCAAAATGTCCTCCTTTTAACTTGACTTAAGTAGTCTATTTTCTCACCCACCTCTTAACTCTTTGCTATATATAAGCTGAGGAAATTTTGTAAATTCTTCTGGTTTAATAATACTACTTTGATAAAGCTTTTAGCAGCAGCATTAAATAGCAAAACGTCAGTAAAAATGACAAAGTCGTTTCGTTTTTCATTCATTGAGAAATACAAAAAAGAACCTTTATTACACTGGAAGAAAACAACAAGCCATGTCCATAGAATTACTGCAAACTGCTCAAATCTGTATTATAATGCAATTTTATAAAAAGCGGTGAAAGTCTTTTAGGACACTTGAGAATATGGCAGGGAATTGCGTCGACTTCACAGTTGATGATGCCTTCATCATTACTCACATCTTGAGGCGTTATATCTTCGACAACCAAAACGAGCTGATCTAGAAACAAGGAGTAGTTTGAAATAAAGCAGAGTAGTGAGAATACAATTATTAACCGAGATTAGAATTGTAAACATTTATGCATGAAATATTTTAAATATAATAAAAATGTGTTTCCAACTAATTAGCTAAATATTCCCAATGGGAAAAAATTTGTTTTGTTAAACTGTATCACAATGTAGTGTTATAAAGTAATATTTACTGATGACCACTTTTCCCTAGAATACTTAAACCGTCGTATAACATCGAGGACGTACCCCATACAGTCACTCACAAAACTGTTACCACGGGTCAACCGGTTCGAACTCGTCCCCGTAGATTACCTCCCGACAAATTAGCAGCAGCCAAGGCAGAATTCGAACACATGATGCAGCTCGGCGTCATCAGACCTTCCAATAGCCCTTGGTCTTCACCCTTACACATGGTGCCTAAAGCTGAACATGACTGGAGGCCATGTGGGGATTATCGCCATTTAAACAACGCCACAGTTCCAGACCGTTATCCGATTCACCACCTACATGATTTCTCTCTAACATTACATGCCACTCATAATCATCATATCAAGGCAGTACTCGTACACACAACTTTCTAACTTCGTATACATAATTCCATCTCTATTTTTCATCGCATGACTTGATTGGTAGTAGTGGTATTTTCCATATATCCAGTATGAGTGATGAGTCATTTCTGTTGCATGTGTTGTGTTAGGTGTAGAGTTACTCGATGAACCAGGCAGGATTCAGTAATCCACATCTCTCTCTGTCTCCACCTACCTAGATTACTTTTTAGAATATTAACCCTCTTCCACCCACTCTATAGTGTGGTTGTGCAGTGCATACACAAATATTTGCTACTCTTAGTGCTTGCAAATGTAGTGATTGAACGAACTTCTTCTGTATGCAGAGTTCAGGATTAGCAAGTGAATTGCCATTGCTTCTGCAGAGTTTGAAGAAGTCTGATTCGTACACCTTTAGGAAGGCTGCTTCGTATTCTGTAGACGACTTTGAAGTTTGTTTGTGGTGTAGCTTGCTGTCCAGAATCTATCAGATGTTCTAAGATAGAGCTGCATGGGGCATCGTTTTTTTCTCCTTTGTAAAACCATGTTGGTAAGTGTTCAATGATACGTTTGGAAAGCGAACGCTGGGTACGGCCAACACACCTGGCTCCACACGAGCAGGTGAATTGATAAATACACATTGATGAGGCCAGCAGTGGTAGCTTATCCTTCACGTTCACATGAATCATAGATTTTGTGGAGGAGGTTAGTCGTAGTTCAGCTACGAAGAAGGTTTTCTTAAGTGAGCGCGACAGTCTATTTTTCAGTGTTTCCGCAACTCTCAATTTCTAGTCATTTATGTTATGTCATTCAACTTATTTGCTCAATTTTAGTTGTAATTTAACTGGCATTACTCTCTCTCTCCACCTCTACTTAGTCTCTCTACCTGTAATTACCTCTGTTGCTACCCTGACTTAAGTTGAAACATTTCAGTCAATTCTATTACGTCGTCATCTAACTTACTAACTAACTAACTCAATCGTACTTTAGTTGCTGTCTAATTAACCAACCTTGTTTCTATATTAGATCATTCTTGTATTACCTGATTACCTGATAAATTATCTCAACTTGACAAACCTCATGTACACACACAAATAATCATATATATAAATGCGATTGTACAGGTAGCTATGTGAATGAATTCGCTCGCCGTCGAAATGAGGAGTCTCTTCGCTGAACGTCTTCTCTTTTTTTCATGTAAAATACTTTGGTAAAGATATCAAACATACAAAACGGCATTTTATCCATCCTACAAGATCACCTACTTCAAAATATGTAAAACGATTTACTATCTTCATTCAAAACATTTATTGATAAAATATTGATTAATAAAGGTGACAAGTGTATTTATTCCTACCTCCGCTTGTTGATGAATTTGCAAACTCCTCAATCAGTAGAATTGATTTTTCGATAATTGACAGATCAATACAGTCATTCTGAGTGGAAACGTCAAACCGCGTTTTAACAGTACCACTACTACTACACGACTCTTGTTCCATTTGACTTAGATAACTAGGAGGACTCTCGGCATTCATTGTAGATTTTGTGAGAGAAAATGAGACGAAGCCACGATTAGTCGCTTGTCTGTAGATGCAGATTTCATTGAGTAAATGTTGATTCTCTGTAAACAAAAGAAACAGCAAAACAAACTTATATTTATAAAACACAAAACAAAATAATTGAGCCAGCAAAGAATATCCTTTTCGATAATTTCCTCCTCTTCTCGCTCTACAATTATATCTATATATGCATGTTTATATACATAGAATACTCTAGATTAGTAGTCAATAACAATATTAGTGTGTGCTTTTTAAATAGTAATATCAATTTGTACAGTAAGATCACAATGGAATCACCACAGTTCATTAAAGATGCTTAAATTATAATCGTGCGTCGGTGGCACAGTGGTTAGGACTCTCGCCGACCGTGAGCACATGGTCCGGGGTTCGATCCCCTGCCGACGCACACCCGATATCTATGGTCGCGGCCTGCGAAATTTGGGCTATCGATATCAATGCTGAAAATTCCATACTTGTACTGAAAATACGGTGTGGCATCAAGCTGTAATCAAAATAATAATAACAATAATAATAATAAAGACATAGTAGCAAAAAGAATTTCAACTAAAATTAGCGAAATTCCACAAAAATTCAGGATCATTCAAACCTAGATGGCCAAGCGGGTAAGGATGATAATGTCTGAACCAATCAACTTTTTTGGATGCACAAATTAGGCTTTTTAATATATATCATGTGATCAGCAAGTAGTGTCTGGATTTCCGGAAGGTATTTTCACGTCAGGAATATCCATACAATGGACTAAATGAAGTTCCTCTAGCCAACTTCATTCATGCATGGTTTGGATAGGATTTATTTTAAGATCCATTGTTATTAGTAAAAATATTTGTGGATTCTACGGAATTTAGTATGGTCAGTTTGAAACTACATTCTGTACAATTGGGATATCCTCCAAGTCTTCACCCTCGAGTTCACCACCTTAGGATATTTGCTAAATTTTCAATGGTGATGAAATCACGAAATTACTTCATTTAGAAAACCATTGAAAACTGGACAACCGTTTTGCCGCAGTTTTGGACTCTTTAGCAGTAAACACCCAGGTCCTTCAGATCACAAATTTACCCCGTTAAACATGTGAACACTGGGACGGCATCCAGTGGCTAATCCGTTCTGACCTCGGCAATTTGTAACCGTCAACCCTTGGCTTTGTTGTGTATCTACTGTGTTTTTTTTGATGTGGTTGTGTTCTCTCTCTGAGCTTTCATCGCCCTACCAGGCAGGCGACATCTTCCTTCAGCGCATACTTCAATTTCAGTTGAATTGACGTGAGCTTTTAGATTTCTCCACGGGTGAGTTTATTAATCATCTCTCCTGGTCGGTGGGTGACTTTGGACGTGATTGGTTGTTTTTGTGTGTTTTCACACCTTTTAGGAGGCTACTTGTATCGATATTGGAACTGGTATTGTTTCTTTGACTTAAACATTGACCCTTTGTGTGTGTTTGTGTGAGGTTTCCTTCTTGTCGGTTGATAAATTTTGTCTTTTTCATGGCGATAAAAGCTTCGCCAGCTGAACAGGATCTCAAAGGTCAGGATGATGTACTGCTGAAGCCCTAGTATTCCACTCGAAATCCAAAGGAATAATCTTAATAATTTCCCTAGTTTTAGGTTCGGAATGTATTCATCATTCCTACAACAACAAAAAAATACTCTGTTTTCTTCACTTTAATCTTTCATGTATACAAAACCTGTAAAAAATCACCTAGCACCTTCCAACTTCTGAATATTTCTGCCAGGGTTAACATCCAAAAATTCCAGTGACCTTATCAGCATAGATTTTTTTAATTTTAAAAACTATGGATTAACATTTCATGTGTGTGTGTGTGCAGTGAATCATCAAGAGAAATTTTATGCTTAGGATCTAGTTATTCTACAGGGGTTACACTAGTGACAGAAAAACGGGTGACTATAAAAACTACTTTGAAGTGATGCATCGCTGCGTCACCTCTAATTCTCGTCTATATATTTATGACATGTGTGTGAAATACATCGACTCCTTCGTTATTCACGCGCTCATCACCAGTAGTAGTGTGGTGAGAGAGCTGTCTGCGCTAGGCAAAATTGGTAGACAATAATTTACGTCAATGTTGTTTATGTCCCAAATATTATTGATTATGAGAAAAGAAGAACAAGAACAAAGACTGACTGACTCAACAAACCACCAATCACAGCACACTTTCTCCGCGTAGGCGGATACACTTAGCAGATAGCAGATGATATGACCCTCAAGAAACAGTCACAAAGAGAAACAACCAATCAGAAGACTGTGTTTGTTTGCTAACAATAATCTATAATAATAATGTACATGAAAATCGATAAATATGTGTGTTGATTTCGTAAATAAACGATCTGTTGACTGGCCCTTGTCTTCTTTCGTTACGGTAGTAGTAGTAATAGTTTTCTGGAAAGCAACTTCTATTGCATAGTACACAGACAAAGAACAAAGTACAAGTACACATGATTAAAAAATTCGAAACTAACCAGTCGCCACAGTATCGCCTTCAGGGATAATATCCTTGACTTTCAGCTTCATCTCCTCGTCTTCTAAATGAAGGTTATCAGTATCAGCTGTAGGTTTCGATGATGATGATGATGATAAAACGTCTTCGCTACCAACCTTTTCTTCATTGATACAAGAAACCAAGGCAACTGAACCAACTGGACAAACTGAGAATCCACTTTTTTTCAAAAAATAAATGGGAAAAATAAATTTTAATGTAATTATCATGTAATATATCGCAAAAATATTCATTCAAACATCTTCTATCTATAAAACACAAAATATAATTGAGCCAGCAAAGAATATCCCCTTTTTCGACAAATTCCTCCTCCTCTTCTCGCTCTACAATTATATCTATATATGCATGTTTATATTCATAGAATATTCTAGATTAGTAGTCAATAACAATATCAGTGTGTGCTTTTTAAATAGTAATATCGATTTGTAAAGTAGGATCACAATGGAATCACCACAGTTCATTAAAGATGCTTAAATTATAATGATAATAATAAAGATATAGTAGAAAATAGAATATCAACTAAAATTAGGAAAATTCCACAAAAATTCAGGATCATTCAAATCCAGATCGCCAAGTGGGTAAGGATAATGTCTGGTGAACCAACCAACTTCTTTTGGATGCACAAATTAGGCTTGTTAATCTCGATCCCAACGGCCAGTCAGCCTCAGCAATACTTAGCAGTCGAACTGTGAAGGCGAAATTGAGATTCGTTGGTATGTGGTAAATAACCCTGAAAGCCGCCTGGTTAACATCAATCAGTCTTGTATTGTGTATCAACAAGATGAGCGCTACGAATAGACAGATTTTGTTTGTCCTTAACTGAACCAACCACTGTGCAGGGTGGGTGATGTTCGGAAATTCGACAAGAAACACGCCTAATTGTACGGCCTATGCAAGTAACTGTCTCACTCCACAGCAGGAGCAGTTCAATTGGTAGATACACACACATGGAAGAGGCGAAATTAGGCAGTTTGTCTTTTACTCCCGAACGAACACAAAAGAGGAGTGGTTTTGAAGACACAGCGTAATTCGGAAGCAGCACTGAATGCTCTCCGTTTTACCGCATTTCTAAGGCACTGTGTTAGTATCTCGGTGATGTTGTCATCGAGGAACTGAATTTGTCAGAATAAGGCCTTCCTTTTCGGAACTGTTGGTGTACCTTGGGTTGATTTGATTTTATGTTCATATTCTTGTCAATAAACATTTCTGGATAACCATTTTCACTCATCAACCGTTTAATTTTATTAAGTTCCTCATCGAGACATTCATCCGAGCAGATTCTTCTCGCTCTGTGAACCAAGTACTTCATCAGATTGCGTTTGTATTTTAAGGATGCAATTAAATTCATCAGTAATATAAAAAAGAGACGTTCATTGGCATAAACATCTAAAATAGCAGTGAAATAGATTTGACGTCGAAAAAAGCAAAGGATTCAGCGTGGTGTAGGGAAATGGAAGACGTGATTAGGATGACAAAGAAGCACAATCAGAGTGACAGAAGTAGCACAAAACAGCTAAGATCTAATCCTAAACACCATAATTTTGAAAATATACGTCTAATCATAAAATTGTACATACTGACAGTTTGAACATAAATGAAGGTGTGATGTGTGTTAGCTGATGCATAGAAAAATCCTTATTAATAAATAAAAATGGATATGTATCACTAATTATTTAATAATACTTGGTCAAAATTCTCGACTGTCCATATCTTCTTATGGAAACGTTAAGAAATGTTTTATAACTGTTTACCCACCCACTCACATACATGCACAAAGACACCATTGTATACCACATATATACATATATTTTCATATTCAGTAATCTACGACCATGAACTCAGTCGGACGTAATCACTAAAATTCTGTTGAATAGTACATTGTGTTTAAAGTGTTTAACAAAAAGTACTGATGAAGAGTCCTAATCCAGGACGAAACAGCTGTCCAGTACTCCAGTGGTTCTCTAACCCATGTCAGCTCATGATGAAATCCTCAATGCAATGAAACAAAAATCCCTACAAAGCCAATACATGAAAATTAATCTGATGCTCACCAGCGACTCGCCCTATTCAGGAAGTGACCTGGAGTTCTTGTGAGAAGCCGTGACCAATAGGGCACAGCAGGTTGAAGATGAGGCAGTAACTCATCGAAGAAGGCATTGTGAAATGGTCGCTCTACGCCGTGAATTAGCAGAAGTTAGAATTCAAGGATCATTGGATCGGGTCCCAGTGGCTCAACGGTCTACGAGCTCCTAGCCCTGTAACCAGAAGGTCCTGGGTTCGAACCCTTATGGTGAGTGCGTACTGCTAAATAGCCGGTCCCAAACTATGCTGATGAAACAGCTGTCCAGTACTCCTAGTGGCTGGTTTTCCAATTGTTCTCTGACCAATGTCAGCTCATGACGAAATCCTGTAACCAAAGCCAATAAGCGACGTCATAATCTCGAAGTGGTACACACCTTTACAACTAGGATGATAATCGACCACCTTGTGAATACTTTTAACTTCAAAATAAATAATTTCAGACATTCATGCATATATATATACATTCTGTAACTATGAGAATAAACTGTTAGAAGAAATAAAATAAAAAAATAAATCGCTTACAAAGGTGTCTCTATTGTGAAGCTGCTATTCCTTTCCATGGATGATAATAATGGAGTTGACAGTGGAATCTGTAGTTTGACTGGAACGCGACATTGTAGCTTCTCTTTGCAAATTTTCCCCACCCATAGAGCAAGTTGACGATTACTTTCTGAAATATTAAATTACTTTTTTTTATTCAAAAGAATGGATGGATACTGAACAAAGAATATAATAAATACTCTTTTTGATAACCTCTTCATCATCATCATCAGGCTCTTCAGTTATATATCCATCCATTATAGTGAATGAAGGAATGAATTAGTGTTATGAACAACAACATGAATGTTGCTGTTTAAGTAACATCGAATCCACAATAATAATAATAATAATAATAATAATACCAGTGGATTACAGTTCAACAGCATCAACATAACAATACACACTGAATGTCAGTTGAATTAGGAAAGATAATATTACAAATTCATGAATTTATACTCTCCACTGAGGGACGGTCAGCCAAGGCAGTAGTATTGTAACAACAGAAGAAAAGGGCCAGGCAACAGATCATCTATATGTTAACTGCATCCACCTACGCAAAGTCTGCTGTGGTCGGTTTTAAATCAGTCTTTGTTCATATTTTCTCACGACAAATCTTGAGAACGTAAACATTGACGTAAATTTCTGTCTACCAACTTTGGCTAGCAGACAGCTCTCACCACACTCCTCCCCCCGTCAAAGACTCGCGACTGAAGTTGGTTCGGTCTTCTTGGTTCTTCGGGCTTTGCTATTTTGTCTTGCTGTCTGGAATCTCGGCGCTTGCGGATGTTCACCTGTTTCTCTTTGTTGACCATTGCGATTGTGTCTGCGTAACCCCATCTCAACGTGACCATATGTGGTCCTTCCCACTTTGGAAACTGTTTATCTGACCCTGTCGCACATTTGTAGGTATTTCACCTCACACTTTCATATGCTGCTTTCTCCCGACTTCTCAGCAGCGTCCCAAGTAGCAGCCTCATCGCTGACAGATCTTGAACGCCACTCAACTGCGAAAAGCCTGGAAGTCCTCCCCGAAGATCCATCCATATGTCTCCATCAAAACCTGCAGGGCATAGGCTTTCCATTTGTCGGTAGGCAGCGACACCAAATGTAACAACAGAAGACAAGGGCCAGGCAACAGATCATCTATATGTTAACTGCATCCACCTACGCAAAGTCTGCTGTGGTCGGTTTTAAATCAGTCTTTGTTCATATTTTCTCACGACAAATCTTGAGAACGTAAACATTGACGTAAATTACTGTCTACCAACTTTGACTAGTAGACAACTCTCGCCACAGTAGTGGCTAGTCTGCTGGACTTACTTCTTCTCAGCACAGAGCACTCACTGGTTGTTTGAGGCGAATTGCAATAGCCTCTGATGTTTGGAGCATGTGGTGCTTCGATGATGATTTTGGAAATTTATGTGGCACCCGGTAGATGATGATGGAGAAGGATTCTTCAATGCTGGCTGGCTGGCTTTGTGACCGGCCGGTTTGTACCAGATGCTCCAATATCGAACTGCTTGTTAATGGTTTTCACTACAACTTTACTCTTAGCCATAGTGGGAGATGTTCTCTCTCGAGCGAGCGAGCGAGCACGAAAAATCAAGTTCCTAGAACAACAACGGTCAATATAACTCGCTCCATCACAAGCACAGTTGCAGTTGAATTGGTAGATACAATTTGAAGTGGCCAGCTAGACTGGGTACTTCATCAGTAATTTTATTCAATAATTCGGTACATATAAAGTATGCTAGTTCACAAATGGTATGTAATATTTCTGTTATGGAATTGAAATTTTAGATGAGAAACAGCTTTGAAACACAATTGTATAATGTCTTTAATATCCTGTTTTAAAGATAAAGCACAAGAGAGGTGAAAAGTTGAAAATAATGATAGAGTGTGAAGACATCTGAGCCAAATAACAAGTTCAACTACCGCTTTCATCTTATTAGTATTAAATCGCCTTAAAAGTCACTCAAAATCATCAAGACTAACAAATTCTTATGAACTAAAAAATAGATGGATTAGATAATTTAAAATTAGATAATAAAGAGAAAATGGTTAGTTTTGACATAAGTTGATATAAGTGTAAAACTTGGGCACTGTGGTGTGGGTGGTAGAGTATAACTACTCCATTATGGATAAGATTGTATGTTGATAAACTGTCACACAGTGTGTGTCTAGTGTTATACAGTAAGTAATATTAACTGATGCGACCACACGATTCGAGCACAATTTATTATTGCCACTCATAATCATATCAAGTCACTCACTCACACAACTTTCGTCTTCCTTCATTTATATACATGAGTGGAATTGATGATTAGGCATTTGAATACAAATCAGTAATATGGGATAATGTACATTCAGAAATGATAATGATAATAATAATGAGTGTTATTGATCAATTGCAATCAGATGGGAAATAAGTCATCTTGGGTGTCATTTGGCGCTCATTGACTTATATTCTCTCTTATTTATGTCATCTACTGTTATACCATATAAGGAGGGGACATCTCAGACACTCCCTAAGTAGGATTCTTAATAAAGCAGGAATTAGGCTGGTGGTGGCATCCAAATCTACAAAGTGACTCATTTAGGACAAGCTCTGTAGGCTGAAGGACCCAGTCGGTTGACCCAATTAAACAAAATAATATCATATACAAAATACCCTGCAATGACTGTCACTTAGGTCAACTACATAGGTGAAACTAATTGGTCGGGGTAGTCAGATTGTCGGAACATAGGAATTTAGCTAAGGTAAGACTGGTTGACCCCACCCGAGAAGATGAGTAATTTAGAAAAAAGCTCACCACTACATTGCACTGCATGCATTAACACATAACCATACAACAGCATGGTGGGAGAGGGTTACGATTCTAAGAAGTAATCCATGTAGGCGGAGATAGAGAGAGACTGATTACCGAATCCTGACTGGTTCATCGAGTCTATACACAACACAACACATGCAACAGAAATGACTCAATGCAAATACCAGAAATATGCATGGAAGATATTATTACCACCAGTCAGTCAGTCAGTCAGTGAAATCAGAGGAGGATAATAAATGATCTTAAATTGTATTCTATTTGAATTCAATTCACGCACATCAGCACAAAATTCTAACAAGTTCCTTATTGTGATTGTAATTGATCAATAACACTCATTATTATTATTATTATTATTTCTGAATGTACATTATCCCATATTACTGATTTGTATTCAAATGTCTAATCATCAATTCCACTCATGTATATAAATGAAGGAAGACGAAAGTTGTGTGAGTGAGTGAGTGACTTGATTTGATGATTATGAGTGTCAATAATGAATTGTGCTCGAAGCGTGTGGTCGCATCAGTTAATATTACTTACTGTATAACACTACACACACACACTGTGAGTGACAGTTTATCAAAATAGAAAATCTTATCCATAATGGAGTGTCTATACTCTACCATACCACAGTGCCCAAGTTTTATACTTATATCAATTACAGCATATAGTTCTCTATTTTTTAATTACTTGCTTAGAATCAAGTAAAAAGATCCAGTACTCTGGAACTATTTGCGTAATTGGGACACTCCAGTCTTATAGACTATAACTACACCATTTGCTTATGCTCACAGTTGAAACTGATTTCTATTTTTCTACAGTTCCTCCTGGAAAAGAAAGTAGAAAATCTTATCCATAATGGAGTAGTTATACTCTACCTCAACACAGTGCTCATAGAGCTACACGGTCAAATTGTTCGATTCATTTTTTTTCTTGAATAAATTAGCTTACCTTCAATAAGAATTCGACGATTTTCACTGTATACACAAATATCAACACTGCATTTCGTCTTCAATTCGTCCGTGGAAATTTCCATCCTTGACAGTGTAGCCAACTTGTAGTTCTCTTCTTCTGCTTTAGCAGGTGCATTCTGATATTCAAGTAAATTTGCATGAATTTTGTCTGCAGTGTCTTTGTCAGCTTCAATAGATAATCGCATGCACTGGGCAGTTTGACAAGGCCAACCATCCTTCCATAATCCTTCATAACTGGGTAGCAGAATTGTCTGGCGTGTCAGTTTCCCATGTCCATTAGGTTTTCCATTGACAAATTCACCCTGTGAATCGATAATAATAATAATAATCTATTTTATTCCAAAAACACCACTACTTATAATACAGAATGGGATTCTCAGCATTTGTCACAACACCTTGCATCTGAATTACTCCTCAAAATATAAATAAAATTAAAAATTAAAACAAAATTAACCGGAGGAATTTGTCCACATTTACGATATAAAGTCAAAAGTATTCGAAGCACGAATTGAGATTATTAAATATAATAATAGTAATAATAATAACAGTGAGTTTGTTTCAAAGAGTATTGTCGATTCAGTTTGGAAATTTCAGTATGTTATTATAGATGCATTGAATCTAATGTTCTGTTGATATAGCAGCATGGTGAGGGGAAGTACAAAATTAACAGTTATAACACAGCTTAAATGATGTTCACCCTTATGAAAAAAAATTGAGAGGATTATAAATATAAGAAGTACAATAACAATATCAAGGCTGATGTTGTAAGGATGGAGGAAATGGTTTATTTACTAGTGTAAAGAAGGTTGGTTAGTTAGTTAGTTCATGCCTGACACTATTTTCATCACATAAAGTAGGTGCCAGCAAATATGGTATAGTGGAATTTTAGTACTTAGACGTACGTGCATAAAGTCTTACCTGAGGAGGCACGAGGCTGGAGCTGCGGATGCTGCGGTGGATGCTCACAGTCTGACAGTCTGACGATGTCAACGATGTGGCCTAATGGGATGCCACTCGCCCTACTGACTGACTGACAGTCTTCAGAGTTCTACGAAGTATGATATAGTCTTTCTTAAGCAATCCAGGAGAGAATAAGCAGAGTAAAGAAGAATAGGTAAGATGCGCACGAGTTGACAAACTGTAAGAGGAGGAGGGGTTGAGTTATGCCTGAGTGCATTAACGTCTTAATTTAAAAAGTCAGACGAAATATTCTTTTAGAAATATTCTTCTAGACATGGGAAGACCAGGATAGGTCAGAAGAAAGAATTAATCCAAGATACTTAACTTGAGACATGATTTCTCTATCAGTATCAACAATTTTGCAATGGCCATAGGAACCAACAGCTTCATCATTTAACTTTCTTTTACTCACATCGGAAACTGAAATTAACAGTCTGACATTTGGAAGGATTTAGTTTAAGACAGACCATTAGACGAAGACCATTTGCTAATTCCTGATAGAAAGCTGTTCATCTTGGTGCAGTCTAGCTGGGAGTTAACAGATATTGAAATAGTTAGATCATCGACATACTTAACAAAGATCATTTCATCATCAGAGTGAGGCAAGTCATGCAAGAAGAAAGAAAACAGAAAAGGAGAAAAGACATCGCCTTGAGGGAGGACACCAGCCTCAGTAAGTAATGAAGTGGACGACTTCCCCTGACATTCCTTAGTCGAAAACGAAAAGTGATTCTATCATTCGCCATTTGCATTCCGCACATATGTAGTGAAGACGTTTTAGAGGAAGACTTACATCTACTTAGAACAATTTCTAGTGAGAAATGAATTAACTCCAAACTTTAGAGATAAGAAGAAAAAGTTAAGACCCAAAAATGTAAATTTGATTTATGTACCGCAAAACAAAAATGCTACACATATGAAACTTGAATTCGTAGATGACTTCACTGTCAGTATCCTTAAAGGAAGGGTTGCATAGTTACTCGAAAAGGATATTCGCTGCAGCATCCTTGAGAATAGTGAATTTCTTGTCGACTATGTATGTTCAATAACCTGAAGGATGAAAATCATCACTTGGCCACCAACTCTGTGGGCGTTTCATAGGTCATTTTGTCCAAGAAGGTGTAGGAGTACTGTGGTGAGAGCTGTCTGCTAGCCGAAAATTGGTAGACAGTAATTTACGTTAATGTTTACGTCCTCAAAAGTGGGCGTAAGAAAAACATTAGGAAGACTGACTCAACCAACAACCAATCACAGAACACTTTGTTTGCGTAGGCGGATACACTTAGCACATAGCAGATGATCTGACCTTTAAGAAACAGTCACAAAGAGAAACAACCAATCAGAAGACTGTGTTTGTTTGCTAACAATAATCAATAATAATGTACATGAAAATCAATAAATATGTGTTGATTTCCTTAATAAACGATCTGTTGACTGGCCATTGTTGTCTTCTGGTGTCACAACGTTAGCTAAACACAGGATGGTCTCATTAGCATAAACGAGTCGATAATACTGGTTCATAAACTAGGCGAGACGTAGGAGTGTGTCTCGGTCGGGAGTCAACCGTGGATCTTGTGCATGTTTGGCGATTAGTCCACCGTCGAATCATCCATTCACAGGTGATCTGGTGTTTTTAGTCCATCCTTGAGTTATACGCCTAATTTTTATGCAAGGTCTTAAGTATGCAAGTAAGCATTTTGTTTATCAACACATTTAATTCTCACCTCGTATTTTGTTCCGCTTGCGAGTTTTAAAGTGCCTGTACCATTGAAGACATCATTTTTCCAGTAGCCCCAATAGACAAACCTTTAATGAGATATTTTTTTAAAAACAATTAGTGTTTTCTTTATGAATTTGGATAAAGCAGCAATAAGAAGACGTAATTTGTCTGCCTGAATCGTGTGTGTAATGTGCATATTCGCGTGCAACACACATTTCGAACAATCAGATCCATCACACACACACGGACTTGTCATAGGAATACATATATATATGAAATTAATAAAGAGTGAGTTAAGAGGTGGGTGAGAAAATAGACTTGACTACTTAGGTCAAGTTAAAAGGAGGACATATTGAAGGTCAAAATAACAATGAAGATCAATCACTAAACCAAATAACAGAGGTAATAGTACATCTACCCTGGTTGGTATCAAAACAAAGTTGACCAAGGAAGGAAAGAAGGTTTAGTGTGATGACGAATTGCTGCTTTGAACGCATGAAGGTAGTTTAAACTTCCTGACTGCCAGCTAGGGCTGGCTCCCACAAACTTTAGGATACGCCCTCCCCCTAAGACGTTTAATAGATAGGTTCAAAAGTTCTGTTAACGTCAATTTTATGTTCTGTCTCCTCTACAATATGTTTCGCAATGGGGGAGCTAGGTCTCCTGTTCTCACCACTGAAGGGTTCTGAAGATTCCATTTGTTTCTGGAGTCATTTCGGAATATGCTCTGAAACCAGCTAGCTGTTACTTGCAGAGATCGATGAGTCCTCCATTCTATGTATATTCGTGTGTTCACACTTACATTCAAATTGGTAAATATATTGTGAAAGAATGTGACATCATTTTTCGTATGTTCAAAGGGCTTAGATCGATGGACATATTGGCTTCATATTCTCAATTATACCTTTTTAACAGCAGCGTTCAATCACTGTCTAGTTATCAAGCTGCCTGCTATGATGTCCCGACCATATAGGGTAGCTTGATGTGCACGTCTTTCTTAGGGGCGAGTTGTAGAGTGAGTGGGTCTTGGTGTTCCACTGACCACTTTATATCATCTCCTGATGAACTTACTTGTCTGGATAATTGTTATCACCAATCAGAGTTTGTGTGTCAACTTTCTTTCTTCCTCATCATCAAGTGTGTCTGTCTTCAATGTGCATATTCGTTGGATTCTACTGAAGAAGCACTTAGCTCACCAAGGATCTTTTGTACCGAACAGGGGAGAAACTGTGGTAATTAAGATACCGTCCTGTCCAGGTACTTTTTCTATAAATAGATCTTCTTATTGACCCATCAAGCCGTCGAGTACGCAATATGTCTAGGAAACATAAACAATTATCTCCCTATTCTACAGACAGATGTAAGTGATATGCTATTCTGAACTTCATTCATTCGATTTAAAATTGAGGTGGCAGAACAAGACTTATCACTGATGATTACAATATTATAACTCAACCCCTCCTCTTACAGTTCATAAACTCTTGCATCCTACCTATTCTTCTTTATTTTTCACCCTTATTCTTTCCTGGTTTGCTTAAAAAGGACTTTGTCACAATTCGTAGAATGCTGAAGACTGTCAGTAGGATGAGTAGTGTCCCAGTGGACTACATAGTTTACGTCGTTGTCGATAGGCACTTGACTTCATGCAGTAAACTTGCTAAAGGGATTTTGTCTGACTTGGAGCATCCACCACAGCACCCTCAGCTTTCACCTAGCATCTCCTCAGGTAGAACAAGAAGTAACTTTAGAAAACTGTATGCTCGCACGTCTAAGTATAAAAATTCTATGATACCATACTTGGCACGTATTTTATGTGATGAAAATAGTGTCAGACAAGAATTAACTAATCTTCTTTATCTAGTAAATAAACAATCTCCTCCATCCATCCATCCTTATATACCTTCAAGTTTTACTTTTATTATTTCTATTATATTTATGGTCCTGTTGCTTCTTTGTTTTACTCTCAAAATTGCAAACATCAACTTATCTCTTTGACTACTGTAATCTTTGTTTTTCCCCTCACCATATCATGTAAAGAGAACATTATATTCAATATTTTTAGTTATGCTAGGATTTCTATACCGCGTCGACAATAGTGTTTAAAACAAGCCCATGGCAATTTTCACTTGTATTATTATTATTACCTTAGCTGTTATCATTATTATTATTATTATTATTTCCATTTTATATGCTGCATGTTTTTTGACATTACCCCTATTGTAAATGTAGAAAAATTTTTTCTGTGATTAATTTTATTTATAATTTGAGGAAATTAGATGCAAGATATTGTGTGATTAATGCTGAAAATTGCATTCTGCATCACAAGTACTGTTTTTGGAATAAAGCAAATCATTATTATTATTACTATTATCTACATACCTTCTATAGAGAGCATATTCCTAAATGGCTCCAGAAACAAATGGAATCTTCAGAACCCATTAATGGTGAGAACACGAGACCTAGTTGGCTCCTCTATTGCGAAACATATTACAGAGGATACAGGATATAAAATTGACGTTAACAGATATTTTAAAACGTGTTTTCGTGAGGGCGTATCCTAAAGTTTGTGGAAGCCCTAGCTGGTAGTTAGGATGTTTAAACCACCTTTATGCGTTCAAAGCAGCAATTCGTCACCACACTAAATCACCTTCCTTGTTAAATTTTGTTTTCATACCAACCAGAGCAGATGTACTATTATCTTTTTTATTTGGTTTAGTGATTGATCTTCATTGTTATTTTCATCTTCAATATGTCCTCCTTGTAACTTGACCTAAGTAGTCAAGTCTATTTTCTCACCCACCACTTAACTCTTCATTATTTCCATGTATGTATGACATTCCCATAACAAGTCCGTGTGTGTGATGGATCAGATTGTTCGAAATGTGTGTTGCGCAAATATGCACATTACACATACGATTCAGACAGACAAATTACGTCTTCCTTCTTAATTGCTTTATTTAAACAAGATATTTACCAAAAATAAACACGACACAAAATTGTACTGCACACATACCCAGATGTCCATAAACATCCAGCTCCACTGCGTTTATCATTAACGAAACCACCAGTGTATTTACTTCCGTCTGTAGACAAGTATTTCCCTTGTCCTTCTCTTTCTTAGTTTTACAAAAAATATTTATTACCATGTTTTGAGTTATAATACCAGTCCCCTTCATAGATACATCCATTTCCATAATTCATCCTCCCGTAGCCATGACGTTCTCCAAGCAGGAAATGACCGATGTATTCACTTTTCGACAAAGGATAATATCTTCTGCCTTTTCCGCTTATCTCTCCATCGCTGAAATCACCTTCATAGACGCTTCCATCCTTCATAGTAAATTTTCCATTTCCTAAATTATTAAAGGTGTATTTTAAAACAAAAATCAATAAAGAATCCTACCACACTTTTTCCCGTCAATCCACTGACCTTCATACTTGTAGTAACCATTTCGATAGGAATAAATCCCAATACCTGGTTTATATATATTTATATATATGATCATTTGAAACTGTCAAGATCCTACCATTCCGCCTGTCTTTATGCGTTTGACCAACGTAAAATCCTGTTGACATAGTGTAGAATGTAGAAATATTTCTCTGACAACTTGTATTTGCTTTGGTCTACCGGCAATACACTGAACTGAAGACGCTGTAAGGCTTACCAGGATTCTGTCCTGATAGAAGAAAGTAATAATAATAATAATCACTTTATTCCACAACAATGACAATTTACAGCATCGAAATTTTCAGCGTTTCTTTTACATATTGCAATGGTTTAGCTCTGTTTATAATTATATTAATGTATAAAATGTTAAAATATTGATAGTTAATAGGAAAAAAAATAAAACCCCAACAAAATCGCACCATTGCTAGGTCATAGTGAATAATAAATAAATAATATAACAAATAACACAAGCATTAATATGCATCATTACATTTTATAGTTTAGTTAATGATTTAAAAGTTGTAAAAGTTCTTTTCTGATATTTTTGTCTCTTCACACAATACTCGTGCCAAATATGGTACGGTCGAATTTTTATATTTTTTGTCGTACGAGCATAAATGTTTATGAAATTTCTTCTGGTCTTACCCGAAGAGATACAAGGAAACAAATGTGAATAAAGAGGATGTTCACTATCAGACAAGATAACTTTAGCTAAGTGTTTTTACAAGAATTCATATGCCTATTGACAACAGTGTCAGTTAGTTGAGTCAAAGGGATAGCACTGACTCTATTTACAGCCTTCAATGTTCTTCGTAGTATTATATGGTCTTTCTTGAGTAGCCTAGGGAAGAATAATGGAGAACAATAAAGAATGATGGGCAAAACACATGAATTAATAAATTGTATGAGAAGAGATTCGGTTATACCTGAGTGCCTCAACTTCTTTATGTAATAAGTCAGACGGAAAACTTTCTTAGAAACTATAAGAATATGAGACAACCAGCAAAGGTTTGAAGAGAAACTAATGCCAAGATAAGAAACACTTGACTTACTCTCTATCATTTTACCATCAATATTACAACAATCATGAGATTGGATCAATCCATGCATGTCTTTTTCAATTCTCAAGCTGAAATCAACAGTATTACATTTAGTTGGATTTAGTTTAAGACCATTTGAGCCAGACCAATCCTTAACTTCAGCTAAGAAGCCATTCTTCATATGGGAACAATCCGATGTGGAAACTACAGGGACAGAAACGGTCAGATCATCAGCATACTTAATGAAGTTAACTTTGGGTGAGTTCGGAAGGTCATGCAAAAAGAGAGAGAAAAGAAATGGAGAAAGTACTGCACCTTGAGGCACACCACTTTCAGTTAGCTGAGAAGTGAAGCGTTTTGCAGCCAAAACAGTATGCTGTTTCCTATCCTTAAAATAAGAAGACAGCCATCTAGTATGTCCAGTATCAACAATATGTCTGGTAACTGCACTCTAAGGATATTTGCTTCCTATCACGCATAGGTTTCTTGGAATTTTGTTCAGAAAACCAATGTGCTTGCTCCCGGAAATGCACGCAAATTCATAAACGCAGTTGGAGGTGACATCAGCAGGGTATTTATCCAGTTTTGAGTGGCTTATACAAGAAGAAGTGGTGCTGTATAATGTTATGAATTTGGCTGCAGGTGGGAAGCTTCTCTTTTTATTGCACCTTTCAGTCTTTTGTCAATCTTTTGTGACACTGCATCTCCTTTGAATTGGGGGAGGGAGACAAATAAACACACTTTCTGCTTTTCTACAGTTGGATGTTTTTCTTTTTTTATCTTTTTCTCTGCTAACTTCTATATAAACCCCTTAGGATATCCATTTTCCCTTGGGCATTCATTTCTCAACAAAATCTAATTCTTCTTCTTCAACCTTGTTTGGTGAACATAAGGGACCAATCAGAAATAATCAAATTCAAAAAAAAATCAATTTATTCGAACACATCAACTCGAAGGTTGAAGCAATTCAATTCACTTATGATGAATTGGAAAATCAGGAAGAGGAGCTTCCAATGTTAGATTGCAGTGTAAAAAGGAAAGAAGATGGGAAGTTAAACACATTGGTGTGTTTACAGGAAACCCAAACATTCAAACATATATTTGAACTCCCGATCATCCCACCCAATCTATGTCAGTAAAAATAGGATTGGTGAAATATTTAGGTGACAACAGAGCCCAAAACTAAGTAGTACCAAGGAAAATCTAAGACAAGAAGTGATACATATGAGAGAAGCCTTGAAACTTAATGATTACCCTGATAAATTAGTCAGAAAGTATGTAGGGAAATGTAAAAATAAAATAATTAATGATAGTAGTGATAGTGATAATAACAATAATAATAATATTAATGACGACACCAACAATAAGGAATCTAAATCATCAGTAGTAATTCCTTACAAGGAAGGAACCTCGGAAACCACCTGAGGCAGAATCCTTAACAATGCGGGCAGGAATAAAAGTAACTGACATTCAACCCTTCCCCACAAACTCAATTAGAAACAAGCTTTGTCGGTTAAAGGATCAACCCTGCCAGTGGAGCCTTTAAAACAAAACAATTTAGTTTATCTAATCCCCTGCTGCTGCAATGATTGTCAGGTCAAATACATAGGTCGAAGTAGTAGAACAGGGTCAGTGAGTCAGACTAGCCGAGCATAAAAACCTAGCAGCAAAATCTAGATTGGTTGACCCGAATAAGATAAGAAATCTAGAGAATAGTTCAGCCGTAGATAGCACTCACAACATGCAATCACACACAACCATACAATAGGCTGGATGGTATAAGATGACAGTCTTAAAATCGAATGTCACATGGTATAGGGAGAGATTGATAACAACGGAAGCTTTGTTTGTCGAATCAACTGAGAGTGAAAGCGTGTGATAGGAATGATTCAACACCTGTCCAGCCAGATATCTGGAAAATTCTACTACCCATACGACAAATAGGAGAAAACAAAGAAAACTATAAAACTCAAGTGTCAAAGTCGTGTGATTACAATTGATATGATTATGAACAATAAATTGTGTTCGAAACGTCATCCAGTAAACGGTAATACTGTTTCACTGTGTGATATATCTAATAAACAAACCAATATGGAATTACTTACCACGACCACAGTGCCCAAGTTTTACACATATATAAATTTATTCTTCTTTCTTTTTCTACACACGCACATACCCACACAAGTACATAAGCTTCAAATTTTTAGAGAAAAGCCTGCCTCTAGTTGACCTGGTATTCTACTCAATTTATCAAACACACATTCACACACCATAGCCAAATTTAATTGGTGGTGTATGGTGACTAGCAGTGACAGAATCCAGTCCAGGATAACGCGCCTTTCACCGGTCCTATTTGGGACTGACTCGTCAGTTGGCTAGAGGATGTACCTGCATTTCCCAGTGAGTCAGTACTGATGTTCCCCGCACCGAGACTCGAACCCAGTGACCATAGTTTCAAACGCAGGTATATCCAGGTAGCTGACCGCGAGTCCCAAATAGGACCGGTGAGTTGCGCGTTATCCTGGACTGGATTCCACTGGACTGCTAGTCACCATACACCACCAATGAAAATTCTAATTAAATTAAACGCCCAGACACCGTCGAAGCATCTGCACAAGAAGCCAAAAGACATGTCAACCTGAGACCGACGAGCACTTTGGTCCAATCAATCAATGGACGGGAAAATCTGAAATTCAATTACATCATAACCAAAGCCTACAGACACTGCAAGAGGACATCGTGTTAAGAAAACCCACCTGATTTCACTAACTAAACAAGGGACTAAAGTTTAAATCTTGTTGTATACAATTTTATTAAAATCAAGAACATTGATTACAGTTTGAAAAAATTTAGGCATTGGGTATATGATATTCATTATAATCAAGGTTTTCTTGTATTTCCCAATGAATGAAAAACAAAACGATATTGTTGCTGTTACTGACGTTTCGCTATTTAATGCTGCTGCTAATAGCTTTATCAAAGCAGTATTATTAAACCAGAATTTACAAAATCTCAGCATATATATAAAAAAGAGTTAAGAGGTGAAAAAATAGACTAATTAGGTCAAGTTAAAAGGAGGACATATTGAAGGTGAAAATAACAATGAAGATGAATGACTAAACCAAATAACAGAGGTAATAGTACATCTGCCTGGCTGGTATCAAAACAAAGTTTACTAACTTGATCATCGTTCGTCAGTCTGGAGTCATTTTTCGTTGTCAAGTTGGTCAACTGGTAAAGATAACAAAACCAAGTGCAGATTGTTGGATTTGATAAGTGCGTAAAATTATAAAACAGCGTGTGTTTATATAATGATATTGCTTATCACATTCGTGCTGATTTTGTCACTTCATAGTGGAGGGTTGGGGGTATTGTAACCAGGTCAGATTCTGTTTTACTCCATCATTCCTATTCAGTTCAGGCAATTTCGATTCCACTTGATATGAAGTGTCTCTGATGATATTAGAAGTTCTTTGTGATTTCTGAAATGCTTTTTCTGGATGACGACTTCAATATTGTCAAAATCAATTTTGTGGCCTGATTCTATAGCGTTTAGACGAGCTATGGCTGATGATTTTTCAGGCTTTTCTAGTTCAACCGGATTTATTTCTCGGCAGTCGATCAGATGCGGCTCTACGGTGTTCATTTCTTCTGATTTTGATTTCTCTCTGGAGATGTTTGTTCGATGTAGTATATCGCATCACATTCCAAGCAACCATTTTATTTTATAGACACAATTAGATAGAGAATCTTTTAGTGATTTGGTGTTTTATATGGACAAGTAACTTTTACAATGGGTACCGTAATCTTTGGATGCATCTATAGCACTTCCTATAATGCGGTTTTTACGCACAATCTTCTAATACGTTGAACTACTAATGATGATCTAACTTTGAATACTATGAAGCTAAGCAGCCGCATTTCTAAAACATGGTGGAGGAATTTCGATGAATTCTGCAGAGCACAGCAAACAATCCTCACCATCCTCAAATACCCTCAATGGAGAAGACATGTAGTTCAGGTGGATCATACTGAATTAGTTGTGCTCTCGAAGTTGGTTAATTTAATTACGGAGCTTGCGTAGTCTTCCAAGACAACGTCTTCAGAGCAGGTTTCAGTAGAAAAAATAGACTTTTT